ATAAGGAGGAGGGTGTAATGACGGACGCAGGACAACAGCGGCAAAAGGGATAAAATAAAATAATAACAGCAGCCGCCGCAGCGGCAGCATAACGCTGAGGATGAGAGGTAAAACCATGAATACGGATTAAAACACAAAAAGCAGGTACAAAAGGTGCATAAAGAGTTAAGAAGTAATCCCTTGAGGAACTGCAGTCAGGGCTTTTACCACTTTCATTCACTTACATTTATTCATTTAAATATCTCTTACTTTAAATTTCTGAAATTTATCGTAATTAAGTTACTGACCATTTTATATTTAAGGCTCACATTACCCAAATGAACAGATAAGGCTCTAAAAAAGTTTTCATATCCTTACAAATTAGGCGCCGAAGTAGGGCTTTTAGTTTGTAGTCTGGGAATCGAGCCTAATAGTAGTGTATTTTTTGATGGATATTTTATATTACAGTGAATTACTATGAGAATCATGTTGACTTTTTCCATACTGAATGTACGAATACACGCTTAGCATGCGACAATTTTGAATTGTACGGGCCTGACTTTGATTATTGGCATTTTGCAATTGTTTAATTAATTCGACCTTTGGGCCATCTACATACGACATGCACACACACCTCGAGAAAGATAGAGAGAGAGAAAGAAAGAGGCAGAGCGAAAGATGGAAGCAGGGCCAAAGTGCGATAAGCACGTAGTCAGAGCAAAAACGAAACGAGATTATTAATCAATCCGCAAGATACAGATGCAGATACCACATGAGTGAGTGAGCGAACGAAAGAGTGAGAGCGGCTGTCCCAGTGTGTGTTTTGGATATATGTACATGCATGAGCGAGCAGGGCGGCTATAATCGCACACAGAATCGATGCAATGGCGACACATCTTTTCCTGCTCATGCCAATGCATACGCGCAAGATCAGCGAGTGGAGAGCGACAGAGAGGGGCATCGTTCCTACCGTAAATTTGACTTAAACTAAATCAGCGGAAGAGAGAAACAAACGAAGATGCACAGGTAGACAGGGACAACGGCTCTCAATGGGATATTTAAACTCGGACTGCAGACACATAGCCCTCAACATATTGACGGTCTGATGGACTGGCCATTCGACTTTATTGGTTAGAGACTGCCGACTTTTCCCAATGCTTTACGACTGACAGGTGTGAAGTGAAAAATGCGCCGACGCAGCAGCTGCACAGCTCCCATGCACTCGCTGGATCGCAGTAAGTGCGAGAGAGAGTAACTGAGAGGGAAGAAGATGCGGCAGCAACACGTGAGGCACACGAGCACAGTAGATCACATTGCAAACAAATAACAATTAAATAATCTAAAGAAAATTTTTCAAATAGGATATTAAGTTCCAAAGTTAATGTCATGATTTGTAATAATTTCTGCATTTCTTAATTTTAGTACGAATTCAGTTATTTTCCCAAATAAATTGAATTTGCCCCACTGTCAGCACAGCAGTGGCAGCCAAATGCTAATAAAATAATAAATCGAATGGCAGCAATAGCAACAAGCACAAGAGAAGAGCAACTCGAAGGTGGCCCCGAAGATGGCCACAAAAAAGAATTGCCAAAGCCAGCAGACACACACTCTCTCCCTTTCGTACACACACACACACACACGCAGCAATTTCTATGCTCCGGTGTTCTAAATACACGTTGCAAAAATGCAAAGGAATCAACAAAACAAAGCGAAAAATGCTTTTAAGCTGCAGCCGCAGCAACATAACGTCGAAAAAAGAATAGGAAGAACGAGAAAAGAGTGAGAAACAAAATGGGAGCTGAGCTCTCAAATGAGCACAATTAGGCGGCTGGCTTTATCGAAAACTCGCGCGCCGTGCAAAAGAAGAGGACAGGAAATGGCAACCGAAACGAAACAGGAACAGGTCACCCATTCTATATATCTCCCCATCTCCTTCCTTTTTCCTTCTTTTTGCTCCGTCTCCCAAGTCACATATTGTGCTCAATAATTCAGTTCGTGAGAGCAGAGCAGCAGCCGTAGCTGAAGAGAGAGTGCCATCCCCCCCTCCCTTGATGACTGGCCAGGCATTTTGGGTGGGCGCGCACACGAAAAAGGAAAAAATTAAACATTGGATAAATCCAGAAAATGTAAAATTACAAACACACATTGCAGGCACCGGAGCAGCGAATGCGACAGCTGGTGGGAGCGAGATGGGGCGACACTCTCGCATGGAAAACTAATACACTCAGGCGCAAGTACAGCCAACGTGTAGCTAGGCAGCAGAGCCAAAGCCAAAACCACCCGATGATATCGAATGAACAACAACAACAACAACTGTAACAACGATAAAACCAAGTCGTCCACCAACGCCAACGTCTCTGCCGGCTTCGCCGCTTGCGTCCGCCGCAGCCGCAACAATCATCGTCACCAAAGAACCTCGTCAATACAACAATACCAAGAAATACTTGGCTTTGGCTCTTCGGCTCTACTGCTTCTTCATCTTCTTCAACAAATCCGACTTGCTCCTGTTGTTGTTGTTGTTGTTGTTTTTGTGGGTTTGATTGATGGCGCGCTGCCTTTACCGCTGCCGCCCCTCTGCCATTTGATAATGGCGGCGTCGCCCATTCAGTGCTGACCGAAAAAAGGCGTCTACATCCCAAAAATGTACATAGCTATATTCAAGCGAAGTATATCTAAAAAAAATGTATGTACATATGCATTAAAAAAATGATAATGAGTAAGGTCGAGTTTAATTATAATTAAAATGAAACTATTGACAAAACTGTGGTAGGCCACCCCTCACAAAAGATAGAATTTTCCATGAAAAAAGCTACAATTTTAAAACTTATGAATTTGCCAACTTATATTTTATACAAGTTCTTAGGTTTAGCTTTTTTTTACCACCCAACTGGCTTGCGCATCTCCAGCGCCTGAAACTACAGTGGGAAGCGGCGAATCGAAGCGTCAGGTTGTACAATTGACTTCAGGCCTCCACTTCGCTCTGGCTCATAATTTGACCCAAGCCTTTTGGCCAACGAGCTGCGGGTTCCACTGTGTTTGTGTGTTGTTGTTGTTGCCACCTCAAGGGGCAGCAAAAAGCGAAGCAGAGGCAAGAAAAACGAAACGAAAGCAACGGTTTTGCGCTAGGCAGAGCATCAACAGCAGCAGCAGCAGCGTATTGGGATGGGGCAAGGGGGAGGAGGAGGTGGAACAGGAGATGAGGTGAAGTTTCGTGTATTGCTGTTTTTGTTTCTGCCGCCGAGTGTGCAAAGTGGTTTGACATTTCCTCCGCTTTGGGCCGCTCATTCGCATTCCCATTCGCGAGATGAGTCGAAGGATGAGTAGGGGAGGCAGGGTAGAAGGAGCAGGAGCAGCAGCAGGAGCAGGAGGAGAAAGGAGAAGTTTGCGGAAAATAATCCGAGCATCTCTCGTGTGTGCACCGCATTTCGGGTTCAAATTCGAGTGTACATGTATTTCTTTTATTTTGCATAAATTAAGCATAAGTGTATATTTGCTGTCGCTCCTCCTTCTCTTATTCAGAGCCTCGTTTTCGTTTATTCGTCGTCGTTTCGATTTTGTTTGCCCATTCGGCAAGACACGCACACTCGTATGAAAATGGGGGGCGGATACACAGACGGAGAAGTTGACAGACTTTTCACCTCTGATACACCAATACACCCCCTTCTTCCCCAAAAGCTCAGGTGGGTGTGTTGACTTGGCTTTTTATTCAGTCAGATTTCCCGAGCTGTTATGGATTTGTCGATAATACAATTGGAAATGGCGAGTAATGAAATTGTGCTCAAGAAGGCCATGGTAAAACATGTTTTAAATTACCACTGATTAGCCATTAGATAAAAAAATACATAATACAAAAATATATTAGACACCTAAAGGTTTTCATTCCTAATCTATTGGAAAGTTGTCCAAAAGGATGCAATATTTTAGGCGAATAAAAATATACACCCTACTTTTTGTTAAAAAAGTTGGATTAGTTAAGGTATACAGAGGTCCTTTGTGTTGTATCTCCATAAGTATTTGGGAAACAATTCCGAACAATGTCCCCTATATATAGAAAAACTATCCAAATAACTATTTCCCAATCACACAACGTTTTCAGGTTGCAGTCTCTTAGCTCTATCATTAATTTCCCTGGTGCAATCTACTCCCTTTTAAGTCAGGATTAATATAGTTAGTTCAAAAATAGTTTCATATTTGTATACCCTTGCAGGGTATTATAATTTCAGACAGAAGCTTAAAAAGCAACGAAGGAGTCATTTCCGACCCTATAAATCATATATATTCTTGATCAGCATCAAAAGCAGAATCGATCTAGGAATCTCCGGCAGAAAAAAAAATTAAAAATTTTTTTCAATAATTTTTGACATTATTTTTCATAATTAAAAATGAAAAAAATTGCAAAAATTTTAACTTTTTTAAAAATATAAATTTAGTATGCAGATTTATAAACCTAATAAAAATTAACATAGGAAAGTTTTCCGAATCAAAATTAATGCTTTTTTGGCTTAGTTATGAGTTTTTTAAACTTTGATTTTAGATAAAATTGTCTTATAAAAAATAATGATTCAAAGAATGAGAATAAAGCTTAGTTGATCGATCGATCGATTTCCGATACGATCATATAATTAATGAATTAATTAGTTAGTAGTCATCTCTTGATACTGTTGCAGTTGGACAACTCATGCAAGTTAGTATGATATGCGGGGTTAGTATGTAGAGTAGTGTTTGGTATGGTAGCGTGGCTTTCGTGTCAGTGTGTTTTTTTTTTTTGGGGTTAAAGTCTTTCTTATCGAGGGGAATAAGTCCTGCGACTGTTCACGGTCTATTAGCCCTTCCCAAAGGGGTGGCGGCGAGTGCTAGTTGAGGATTGATTTCAATCAAGGGGGGTTGATTGGGTCGGAGGGGTAGTTTTCGGGGCTGGTAGTGAGTGTGGTGTGGTGTGGTGTGGTGGGTGGTAAGAATGCATATATACGTATATTGAAATAGTAGATTGAGGTACTCATCACTACATGGCGTTTGCGTACATTGTTCATGCTGACCAGATACATGGCCAGCTTGTTGATGTCCAAGTTGGCCAGCTGGCTGACGTCGGTCGTGTTGAGGATGCTCAGCATCAGGCTGATGTCGGCGGCAGTGGGCATGGCTGGCATAGTTCCCGATCCGCCTGTTCCGCCCACTTGCTGCTGGGCCTGCCCGGATCCAACACCAACACCGGGTGCTCCTCCTCCGGCTGCTGCGGCAGCGGCTGCCGCTGCTGCGGACGTGCTGGCGCCCTGCGACTGCATCAGCGCCTGCAGGCTCCGGCCGCTGGGATCCGAGGACCCCACAGTGGAGCCGACAGAGCCAACGCTGCCGCTGCCGGAGCCGCTCTGCAACTGCATTTGCATCGACTGAAGGGTGGGTGTGGTGGGCACCGACAACGGTGGCGTCGATGAGACCAGTGCCTGGAGCTGTGGGGCAATCGCACAGAGAGAGAAAGAGAGAGTTGGAGGCATTGGTAAGCGGGCAACTGAGTGTTCAGGGATATCGTGAGATTGGCTTATCTAGGGTAATGTTGGACCACTCCGATCCCAATGTCTTTGCTGGATCTTACATAGTTTTGCTGATCAGCTGTTGGCTGCTTTTGGGTATATTTATTAATTTCAATTTTGGGTTTGGGTTTTTGGTTCTCCGTCAAAGTTCGGGTTCCAGTTATGGTTCTCGTCCTGTTCCAGTCCGTCCTTTTGTACGCTAACTACGGTTAACTACGGCCAACAGCTAAGCAACAAAACTACGTACTTTTCAACACACTGCGACACTACAACATAATAATAATAATAGTAATAATTAAGACAGATAACAGGAAATTAAGATATAAATCGTGTTTCATATTGGGTTAGGCAAAGAAACAAAGTACGCGTAGAGATTATTTTCACATTTGTGATTAGACTTAAAATCGGATCGTTAAAATGATTCTAAGCCTCAGATATGGCACAAAATAATGATATATTGTTTAACTTTATTAAAATATATAAATAAAATTAATTTGACACTTAATGTGATTTGTTTTGCTTATTTAAAACTTCCACTTATTAAAGTTAACGATATTTGGATATGATTTTGATCCGTTTAAAGTAAAAACATTGAGATTTACCCATTTTAAAATGCATTTGAGGATGGGATACTGTGGGTTGTACAATGTCTAGTGGACTCACCTTGGCCTTTTGCTGCAGCTTAAGCTCCTCCTTCTTGTAATTCCTTTGATAGGCGGTGATGACACGACGGAGCCGAGTGTTCAGGTCCTGCATCGATGGCCACATGGTGGTGGCATCCTCGACGGCTGCCACGGTTGGTGGATAGCTACCGGCAACGCTCTCCTCTTCGTCCAGGCCTAAATGTGAGTTGGAGTTAGCATGGTCGTTCGTGGTGGAGTTGGGGGCATTAGAGTTAGCCACTTTGGATGATGGATTATTGGTGGTGGTGGTTGTGGTGGTGGTGGTGATATTGGTATTGGTATTGGTAATGGTAGTAGTAGTAGTGGTGGTGGTGGTAGTGATGTTTGTGGTAGCATTGTTAGTGCATGATTCCGCTTGATCGCCTTCGGCACGGGCAATGGCAGCGGCATCGTTTTCGGCTTCCCCAGCAGAAGGAGCAGCAGCAGCAGATGACTCCTTGGGTTCCTTTTTGGTTTCATTTTCGTTATCGTTATCAATTTCAATTTCGCTCGGTGTTTCTTTTTCTTGATCTTTTTCGAGTTTTTTCTCCGATTCGTTCTCAGATTCACCATCGGCAGTCTTGGCCTCCGCCGAGTCCAGATCTTCTCCAGCTTTCTCAATGGACGACGCCGAGGTCGAGACTGCCGCGGCCTTGGTCTTGGTCTTGGTTTCCGGATCTGCGTCTGCCGATTGTGGTGAAGGAGTTGCTGCTGATGCCTCCTGGTGGGCGGCCAACGTTGCCGCATTGTCAACATTATCGCTACCATGGCCCGGCAAGGGATCGGCTTTGGATTTGGATGAGGATTCGGATTCGGAAGCATTTGCTGTGGTTTCTTTTTCGCATTCCAGCTGGTTAGCCTTCGTTAGCGTTTTCGCGTCATTGCCGTCGCTGTTGCCGTTGGCGCTGCCGCTCTTACCCGACGAACTTGGCCGCTCCGGGTCGAGGAGGAGCAGCGAGTCCTTGTTGCTATCGCCGCCACCGGTGGTCAGCTTGCCAGAGTCCGAGTCTTTGGTCGTGGTGGTGCCATCATCGTCCACCTCGTCGCCATCGTCGTGCTTCGAATTTGCATCGTCTTCGTTTCTGTTTGATGCCACAAAGATGAAGTTTTTGGAATCAAGTTATGAAAGATTATATAATACTCAAGGGGTAATTAAGAGAGGTGGCGGTGGAGTATATATATATCATGCCAAAACGTAGTTAAACGTAGTTCTTTAATAAAGCACAGAGAGAAAATTCACAACACACACACGCACGCGCACACATTCAACGCAATGACAGATGTAGATCTCAATGCTTCGGATGTTTGTGCGTTTAAATGGGAGATACTATATATAATTAATAGATCTACTCCGTATCTATCTTTTAATTGAGTTTTACATCTCAATCAAAAAATCTTCTTTCAAACATTAACATTCTTTTAAATATTCAATTCTTGAATGAAGCCGTAATATTGGCACATTTTCTAAGAGTAAAAGCATGATTTTCATGATTGGGAGGAATGTGCGTGGAGTGCGTGGGAATGTAAATGAGTTTTAGCAAATCCTGTTTCCCCGTTCTTAGCTTCAGCTTGGAATACATCTAGCCAGGAGGTGGGATCTTTGAGCTATTTTAGTACTTGTGTGTGTGTGGGATTACTTAATGGTAGTTATGTAGGGGTGCGCCAACCACATTGATTGATACATTTTACTATTTCCGGTATGTTTTGGGATCATAAACAACTAATCGTTCCTTCAATTGTTACAATATCAGACAAAAATAATACAAGTATTGATTTCGATTGGTGTTTATAAATCCTTCTCGACAGCACGTTAAAGTCTTTCCTTCAAAAATATCTTCTTAAATGGTACTTTTAAAGTTGATATTATTAACATTCATTAACACGGTTCTTAGTTTATAGATTTGCTAACAATAAGGAATTTAAGTTCGTATCCTAGTAGATTTGCCTAAACACACCGGATTTTAATTTAGATTTTGGGTATTTATTTATAATTTTTGTTTTTTCTTAGATTTCTTGTCGAAAAAGGAGACTTACATCGGCAAATTCGTGACAGCCAGATCGTCGCCGGCAGCACCGGCGCCCACATGGGTGACAAAGCACAGATTGGGATCGGCGCGCATTTGACGATACATTTCACAGCCATGCTTGTAGGTTCCAACCAACAGACTCTTATCACAACAAATGGGATTCCACCATGAGGATGGCACTTGATCTGGCGTTGGCGGCGGGCGAATGGGGAGCTCGCTACATATGATATTCGGTTTCGTATTCGTATTCGGTGGTCGATGATGAGTTACATTCATGGAATTTGGAGGGAGATTTCGCAGAGAGAGAGAGATGCGCGAGAAAAGAAATGCGTTGGTTTAGTATAAAAATTTCAAATTTTGGTTCAACAATTTGTTGGAGGTTTTGGGTTTATGAGTTACAAATAATAAAGGGAAATAATGATAAAACCAATAAAATCAATAAACAAAAATAATACAAATCATACAGATCATAATTAAATTGTTAAATTGCCAATTTGCACTACGGATTTTTACCACTACAAAATGCATAGAAATTCATACAAAAGCAATAATAATAATATGAGGTATAAGATACGTAACGCCACAACGCTGGCTCCCTTAAGATTTGTTGGAAAGCCACAGGTAGGGCGTTACGCAGCTTAATTCTTATATGGTCTATGGTCTGGTGTTTGGTTTTTCAACTTTTTGAATTTGGAATTCGTTTAAAGAGTACATAAATTATATACAATGAACAAAAAATGCAATGTGAAATTTCGATATATTTATAGAGAGAGAGTAGCAGGGATTTCCCTATTCGCCAGCATATTTTCATCTTCTTAAATGGAACGAGCGATCGACCGAGCGATAGATGGCGATTTTTTGGTATTATTATTTATAGGGATATTACCTTTCCAGATTGAGATTCAGATTCAGATTGAGTGCCAGCTGCTGCTGCTTGGCTTTCGTACTGCTGCTGTTTTTTTGTTTAACATAATATACGTATATATATTTGTATATATTGATATTCGCAATTAAATCAATTGAGTATTTTTTATAGATTTTGATTAAACGAATTGAAAGTGAAATAAAACACAAAACACACAGTAGATAGAAGGAAGAGTTCGAGATGCGCCGAGGATTAGTTGGCAAAAATGTATAAATATATATATAATATGGAGTATGATTTATAATATTAAAGGTGAACATGAAAACGGATTAATGAGAGGAGGTAGATGTACAAATGTTTAATAGCGTTTTAAATGGCTAAGCGATCGAACGTACATAGATATTAAAAGAGGGTTAAGATAGGGATAAAGCTGATTTTATGTAAAAAACAGAGAGATTCGAAAATAGGAGAAAGATGCTCAACGAGAATGTAGCATTCAAAGCCCGTTCTTCAGGAAATCAGCTTATCTTAGTTACAAAGATATAGAGAGAGAATGAACCTTAATACAAGTTCTACTGAATTTCTCAGTAGACATACAAAGATTTAGTTAAAAATCGTATAGGTGATTGTAAAAAAACCATTTGACAAATTGGCATTGTAAAACATAAGTGTTAAATAATCTAATAAAGGTAAATAACGAAAAACACATTGGTAATAAACGCTTTTGAGCAATCATTCAGTCAATCAATTAATCAATCAATCAAACGACAACAGCAATAAACAAACAAAATGATTCTATGAACTCTAAAAAAGGTTTCTTTTGTTTACTAATAAGCGCCCCAAGGCTTACCTGATAGGCGTATTGTCCTTGATCTGCTGGACAAACTCGCCAATAACCTCGTGCTGGATATAGTAGAGCATCCTCACGCGCAGCAGGACTCTGTTGGTTATTAAAAATGAAAGAAATGTAAGAGAAGGAAGAGAAAAGGAGAGAAGAACGCGTAGGGATTGGATGTGTTAGTACAAGTTGGATTGCATCTCAATGGAGTTATATAGCTAGCTTATAAACAAATTCGATTCCACACGACTCACTTATTCGCGTGTCTGCCCAAATGCTTCTTATAGGCGCCCTCCAGGTACGCATCCGCATCGTACTTCTCCTTTTTGCTCCAATGATTAGGATCATGGATGCTCGTCGGGGTGGTGACTGCCGCAGCCACGGCACTGGCACTGACTCCACCGCCTCCATCCTTGTCGGACCCATCCAAGGCACTAGACTTGTGAGCCGGTGTCGTGTTGCCACTGTTGCTGCCAGACGCAGTGCCTGGAGCTGGTGTGGAGCTGCCCGTGGTTTCCTTGTTCGACTTGCCGCCATTGCGTCCTGAAAGCCACAAAATTGTGTACAAAATATTAGAGAGTGTTTTGTTTCAGCTTCTGCTGCTCTCCAAAAAGAGGTGTTGAAACGAAAAAAAGGAAAACTGTAGACTTTGGAGAGCAGCTCCGCCGTGAATATAGTAAATGCAAATAAATTTCGTAAGCTCTACTTGAGATCTTTACTTTTAATAATCACAGCTGTTTTTTGTAATTAAAAAATTTAACTACAAAAATGTGAAACAAATCTTCGATTTAAACAAAGTTACAGTTTCTTCTCTGTCTAGATTTGGAGAGCGTATGATAAAGAGATTGATTTGATATGGGAACACTGGTGGTCAGTGAATAACTCTTTTTTAAAATCTCTTGGATAAGAGTGCAATGTTATTTATATAATATCAAATTATTGTCTACCAATAAGCTCTCATAATCCAGCAAAGACGATAATGTTTGCAGTTAGTATTGAAAAACTCGGTTTAAATGAAGGTTAATGCAAATGAATGAATATAAAATATGAATGAGTGTTTGGTTATGAATTTACATGATCGGGTTATACATAGATTAATAATTATTTATACAAAATACAAATAATAAGTTTTGATATATAGTAAAAGGCATACAATTGCATGGCAACAAAACATACACACACGTTTTCATCGGTCCAGTCAAGAGTAATATGGTCAATATAGAGTCAGTCTGGGTAGTATTTCGAGAGATTTGATTCGAGAATTGAAGTAAGTTACAAGGAATATTTATAGGAAGTAAAGGGAAGAAATTAGAGGCCATTACATAGACCCAAAACAACACACACTAATACACACAAAAGTGAAATTATTTCCTTTTGGGAAAGTCTTAAAAATACAAGAAGTACACAAAGGTAGGTTGTTAAAGTCCAGATAAAGACCCATTTAAAAAGTAGAGTGTGTGGAAACCGTATACAAAAAGTTCGATTCATTCTTGTTTTACTTTAATTGATTGAATTTTGTTGTTTTTAAAACTCTCTACGTCCGTGCAGCAGTTTGGGAGGTGTGCGTGAATGTATATTTTTACCATACCTTTGGCATTCCTACCTCGTGGCACCAAATTGTGTAGGCCACTATGATCCCTGCTGATCTTTTGCACCTCTCCGTCCTCCGTTGGCGTGATCAAGTCCCAAATGAACGTCTTGATCTTCTCATCACCCTTGTACACTTGCAGGCAGTAAAGGAGCTGTGGAAACGGAAACGGAAACAAAACTTGTACCATTAGCAATTAATCTAGAATAATAAATGTTTTCGAAAGTTGCATCTCTATCAGCGGGTTGAGAAGTTGGTTTTTACTCAGCGGAAACCTAAAGTTTCCTCAATATTAGCATGGTTTGGTCATCATTGATTATGAATTCTTAAATATTCCAATTCTTAGAATTAAGTTTACTTACGATAATGCGAGCACAGTCCTCGACATCGATATCACGCCAGCCGCGCTTGAATTGTCCCAGCTCCAGAAGTTCCGACCATCGTCCCCAACTAGAAAGGAAGGGTTTAAAGATTAGTAGTATTCGTTAAAGATGTCTTGTCGAATATATTTATACATTTTCCCATTAATACATTCCCATCTAGTGATCCTCGGGAATCTGTGTAACCTCATTTGAAAGCTCAAAAACTAGCATACAGACATATTATTTGTAAAATAAAAATTTCCGGAAGCCATTCCCATTTCCTACAACAAATTCAATACCCAAGAAACAAGATCCCCTTTAAGAGAGAGGCAACCATGTCGGGACACAGCTTCAAGGATAATATGAGCCGACGCTCCATGAGGTCACATGCGAGCAAAACTCAGATTGAGTATGGGGTGCCGCAGGAACTGGACATAATGGGCATTATTTACAAGTACTTTTTGGAAGATATTCACACATTCACGGACGAGGAGCGCGAAGAACGGCTGGGCAGCCTGGATGCACTGGATATGCTGCGTACCATCGAACAGGTGCACAACGATGTCGCCACATTGCGACTAGAGAACCACATCATGGTTGAGTTTCTCGAGAAGAACGATCCGAAATTATTGCTGGGACTAAGGCAGCGCCGCACTTCGATCTTGAAGAGATTGCAAAACACTAAGCGTGGCTCCGTGGCGGGAAGTCGTGGTAGCCGCCAATCGAGTTCCAAGCGATCCATTTCCATGTCCGTGAACCGTTTGGCTTCGGTGACAGCCTCTGCCGGCGTTGGCACAGAAAAACGACGGGGCCCGGACTACAAGCTGAACTACAAGGCCAAGGCCGAAATGGCTGAGAAGAGAGCAGCCGAGGTGGAGAAGCGGGTGACGGATATCGAGAGAAACGGTAGGTAGAGTAGAGGCTGTGACCTAGACACCTCAATCTCTAAATTCGTACTCCCCAAGCCCTGCGAGAGGTGAAGCAGCTGAGGGCCAAGATCGAAGAGCTTCACTATCGCAGCGAGGAAACTATCGAGACGGAGAACAACTTCATGCTGCACTTTTTGCGCGACGAACAGGACGTGGCCTTCTTGGAGGGGGCCACCGAGCGACAGATTGAGCGCAAGCTGCGCAAGTTCACCACGAATTGGTTCAAGAACGCACGCGCCCTCATGGGCACCATGAAGTTGACCATTGTTTCGCTGCAGGAGACGTGCCAGCAGCATCGTGCCGATCTCATCACTAAATCCGATCTCAGTGGCATCCTGACGGCCGTCGATTTCGAGAAGCTGATGATCAAGCGAACCGAACTGGTAAACCAACTGGAGGAGAAAAATATACACATGGCTGGACTCAAGGGTGTTACGGGCAAGACCTCCTTGGCCATGACCGAGGAGAAGCAAGCCATGATGAACTTGGAGACGGAAATGCGCACGGTACTCAATAGAACCGAGGAAGTCACCCGAGCCATACAGAAGCTAGAAAAGGAGGTGGCCGCCGTTCAGAATCACAATGCGAAGGATAATGTAACGCTTGATGAACTGAGAGCCCAGCTGCAGGAGTACGAGGCCCCGAGCGTTGGCGAGTATATCGAACGGAAGGAGGAGGCACATGTTCTCGAAAAGGAGGAAAAGATGCTTCAGCGAAAGATCTACATCCTGAACATGAAGCTGAACAATGCCATACGTCGTAAAATCCGTATGACTGAAATGTAATTACTTTATTATCCGTTGTCCCTTATTCCATGTTAGTATTAAAGCATATTAAACATACATCTGCTATCAGCTATGGACAGGGACTAGACAAATCTCAGCTAGGAATGATTATCCCTAATTCCAACCCCTTCTTTACTCACCCAAAGGACAGCAGTCCCTTCTCCACTTTGAAGCACTCGGACTTGGCCCAGTTACCATACTGAATCTCCTCCAGTCCCAAGGCAGCCAAGGCATCCCGTTCACGTGGAATGTACTCATCGTTGCCCTTCTTCTCCCGGGCGCGATCTCTCTTCTCCTTGCGACGACGTGAACGAAGACCTATAATCAGATTAGCAATAGTTTAATAATGGCATAACAAAGCAGTAGGGTTCCCACTTACCAATTCCTCCCTCTTCGTCGCTATTCTCATTGGAAGATTCCTCGGAATTAATCTCCATCACATCCTCATGACCGTATCGTTTGATTTGTGTGCGTCGCCTCGGCTCCGAGAGAACCAAATCCTCGGTCTCATCTCGCTCACAGGCATCGGGATCAATATCTACCTTTTTGGCCCACTTGGTCCAGAAATCGGGATCATCGATGGTAATATCCGATCGATTGCCGGAGGCAGCAAATGAAGCCTTCGAGAAGGTCGATCCCTTCTCCGATTCCATGGTAATGACCTGGGTACGACGCTTCAGAATCGAATCAATGTCCTCTTCGCAAAACTTATCGCCGGCATTGTCGTCGTCCATGACAGCACCGTAGGCGCCCTTCTTGAGCAGATCCTCGATCTCCTTCTTGGACAGCTGCTTGTTGTTGCCATCCTTTGAGCCCTGCGTGTTCATCGATTGCAGTACGGCCTTGTCCAGGCCCAGCTTCATCGACGCCTTGTCGAACATTTCACGCTCATACGTGTTCCTGCAGAGCAGGCGGTAGATCTTCACCATCTTGCGCTGTCCAATACGATGACACCTGGCCTGAGCCTGCAAATCATTCTGCGGATTCCAATCGGAATCGTAGATAATGACCGTATCAGCGGCTGTCAAATTAATGCCCAATCCACCAGCCTTGGTGCAGAGCAGAAAGACAAATCGATCGGAACCCGGTTTGGAGTAACGATCAATGGCCTCCTGACGCAGGTTTCCTCTTATCCGTCCATCGATTCGCTCAAATGGATACTTCCTGTACACCAGGTAGTCCTCCAGTATGTCCAGGCATCGCACCATCTGACTGAAGATCAGCACACGATGGCCATTGGCTTTGAGTTTGGGCAGTAGTTTATCAATTAAAACCATTTTACCCGCCGAGAGGATAAGATTCTTGTAATAGGACTCCGGATCCTCGCCGTGCTGGGACTTGAAATCATATTGAATCTGCTCCTCGGCACCGTTCAAGAGGTACGGATGAATGCAGCACTTGCGCAGCTCCATCATCGTGTTCATCAGATTGGGGATATTCGCGGATGTCGTTCCCTTCTTTAGGAAGCTAAAGTTCTGTTCCAGAATGCCGCGGTAGTATTTCTTCTGTATGTTCGTGAGTTCCACTTCAATAATGGTCTCCTCCTTGGGCGCCAAGCTCTTCTCGACATCGTCCTTCAGGCGACGCAGCATCATGGGCTTGAGCAGGGCCTGAAGCTTGTTCACTTCCTCCTCATTGCGAAGGTTACCAAACTCGGACATGAACTCCTCCTGCGAGGAGAACTGTGAGGGTTCCAGGAAATTCAGCAGCGAGAACAGCTCGCTAATATTATTCTGCAGTGGAGTTCCAGAAAGCAGGACCCTGTGCTCCAAATTCAACTGGCGCAGCCCCTCGAGGAGCTTGCAGTTGCGGTTCTTCAAGCGATGAGCTTCGTCGATGACGCACAGACGCCAGTTGAAGGCCTTCAGGTCCATGTAGTCCGTGACAATCATCTCGAAGGTGGTGATCAGGACATTAAACTTGATGGGCTCCTTCAGGACCTTGCCACTATCTGTCTTGTAGTAAAACTCATAGTCCTGAATCATTTGTTTGCTGGTCACCGACCCGTGATAGACGACCACATTCATATCCGTCCAGCCCTCAAACTCTCGCTGCCAGTTGGGAATCGTGGAGAGGGGTGCTATGACCAGGAAGGGTCCCCTAATTCCATACTCATAAACGGAGTGGACAAATGTCAAGCTCTGGATGGTCTTGCCCAGACCCATTTCATCGGCCAGGATGCAGTTATGGGTATTATACCACGAGAACTTTAACCAATTGAGGCCCTCCAGCTGGTAAGGTCTCAGGCTGTTCCCTGCCTTGTACACCGGAGTCTTCTCCAGCTTCTTCCAAAGCTCTGGATGCGGGCGCTTCTTGCTCTTCCACTCGCATCTCAGCGGGATCTTGTTGAAGCGCAAATACTGCTCAATCTTATCATTATCAACATCTTCCTCCAGCTCCCAGGTGCAGTCCTCGTAGGGCAAAGACTTCCACTTGACCAAGTAGTGCTTTGTGGTCTCGCCACTGTTCTCATCCGTGTGCACGGACATGTCCAGCACGCGATCCACTTCCGTAAAGTCAGGATTGAAGGGTTCCTCTTCGATATTCTCAAAGATGTTCAGTTGCTGTGACTGCTTCTGTTGGAAGCGTCGAATCTTGGCCGCCACACGGCGATCTCCCTTGAGGAGTTCCTCTTCGGTCCGCCACTCGCAATGGAGGTAACTGAAGTTGCGATACTTGACAAAGTACTCTTCCACATCGATGAAGACAGGCTCGGGTTTGTTCTCCTTGTCCTCAGCATCGTTTCCTTCATCTCCTTCTTTCTTCTCGGACTCCTCTTCTCCTTCCTTTTTGACCGCCGTTGCTTCATTTTCCTTTTCTTCAGCTTCCGAAGATTTCTTATCATTTTCGTTGTCTTTCTCTTCGGTTTTCACATCGTCGGTTGAGGTCTTATCCCCACTGGTACTCTCTTCTTTGGGCTTGGTGGGTGACTCACTCTCATCCACATCCATTTTCTCACCATCATCGGTCTCCTCCGTTTCCTTGGCCTCCGTTGCGGTTTCTACATCCGAAGAGGTGGTTTTCTCATCTTCGCTGTTCTCGGATTTTTCTTCAGGCTTCTCCGTTTCGGATTGCTCTGCTTCTGGTTTGGTTTCATCAGCAGCTACATCATCTACGTCCATCTTGTTATCCGCATCCTTGTTCTCGCTGGCAATTTCTGCCTCATCAGACTTTTCAATCGTCTTCTCTGCTTCAGACTCTTCACCGTCCACTGCCATTTCCGTGGTCTCGTTTTCCAACTTCTTCGTCTCTGAATCTTCTTTGGATGCTTCTTTATCCTCAGCGTCTGTTTTAGGCTTTTCCTCGCCTTCGACTTTCTCCGCTGAAGCTTCTGCTTCCGATTTCTCCGCTTGCTCCTGCACCTCCTCCTCTTTTTTGGGCTGCGGCTCGGGCGTCTTCTCCTTGGGTTTTTCCGGGATAAGTTCCCGTTTACCCATTCGCATTGCCAGAACCAGTTGCACCACCATGCTGTCCTCGTCGCCAGTGTTGATGTAAACATAATTGGGCTTGGAGGACATGGCTGCATTGGCGGCATCGGTGGCGTTGAGGCGCTCCTTTTCCGCAGCTGCTGCGGCCGTTGTCGAACTCGAACTGGCTTCCAGTTGACTGCTTTCGTCCAAGGGAAGATTGGATTTGTCCTCAGAGCCCGCACCTGCTTCTTGGCCAGCCGCTTCTCCCTCGGCCCCAGACTGAGCCTCCGCTTTCTCTACATCACTGCCAGCATTGGAATTTGCGGCGGCTGTAGCGGCAGCTGAGGACTTCTTGTCCTTCTTCACCGGCGAAGCCACCAGGAGTGAGTTGTCGTCGTCGGAAAACCTTAGCATGACATCGTCAATGTACTTCTTTCGCTGCGTATTCCTCGAGGATCGTCGCTTGTTCGAATCCAATTCAGAGTCCGGTGGCGGTGACGGTGGCGGTGTCCTGTCCATGGTATCATCTTCGCCATCGGATTCGGGCACAATCCTGCCCCTATTCCTTCGCTTTTTGAGTGCCTTCGCAGAGAGGGAACCACGATTTCGACGGGCACTACCTCCTCCTTCCTCGGAATTGGCATTGCGACGACTACTCCTGGCCGTTGATCTTTTGCGATCTCTCCTACTAGGCGTGGTTCCGGTTGCATCGCCGGCGGAATCCGGAACAGAGTCCACAGTCTCGTCGCCCGCCTCGCCGCCGGCATCTTTGTCTTCGTCGTTGGCGCTTCGCGGTATCTTGGATACGGGTATGTCATCATAGTCCGGAGACTCACCATCGACTCCGCCGCCGCCGCCCGATGTGGTTTCCGCTTCACCATCCGCGGACCCAGCCTTGGTCACGAGTGGTTTGTTGTCCTCCACTTCGCTGCCTTCACCGGTTTGCTCGGCTCCCTCTTCGCCATACTGCTTCCTTCGCTTGCTTACACTGGCCCTCTTTCGGGCGGGAGCAGGTGCTGGTGTTTCCGGATCAGTCGGATCCTTTGGTTTCTTCGCCTTGGGCGTCCTATCCCGCGGTGGTTTATTTGGATCCTTGGGAGTGCGCGGCTTGCGAGGCTTCTTCTTCTTACCACTGCCATCGGTGGAGGTGTCCAGTTCATTGGCGGAATGGACATCCTGCGAGAGATCTCCCATGCCTTCGCTGTACTCCAGCATGCCAACGACACTGGTATCGCCGGCTCCCTGGGTCACACAGTCCTCGGAGACGGGCAGCTGCGTTGTGGGTATACTGGGAGTGTCCACGACATTGCCACTGATATCCATAAGATCTCCCTGGCGCTGGTCCAGAAGCTGCTGCTGATTGGCAGCTGCGGCCGCCGCCACCTGTCCGCCTTTGTCGCCCTTTTTGGCGCGCGGCTTCCTTGGTTTATTCGTTCCCTTCCCCCTGCCTCGTCCGGTGGTGCTTGAGACCTGGGGACTCTCCACCATTTGGTTATGCAGCGGATTGTTGCTTCCCGGCGGTCCGTACATGGGCGGCATGCTCTGATAGAGCAAACACTGGGGGCCACCGCCGGCACACTGATCGTTGATCTCGTGCTGCGTCAGCAGATTCAAGCGCTCCTGCATCCGCATCAGCTTCTCCTGATGCTGGTGCTCATGGCCCGGTGGCATACAGTACAATTCCTGGATCTGTTGCTGTAGTGCTGCAATCTCCTGTTGATGCAACATCGGATACGGTGGCGGATACATGCTGCCAGGCGGTGCTCCGCCTACTCCTGCTCCATATGGTGGCATCATGGGCGGCATGTGACCTGGAGGAGGAGCACTCTGGGCATCGTAACCCGGAGCCATCGGATGCATTGGCATTCCCATGGGCGGAGGAATCTGCTGTTGTTGCTGCGGCGGCGCCTGCGCTGTGGGATCCAATGTAGGCACTACCTTGTCCTCCGGTAAGTCTTCAAGGTTCTTTTGCGGTTCCTCTGTTGTCAACTCTCCCAACTGCGTTTGTTCTATCATATCCTCGGCAATGGGCTTCTCCACGAGATCCTCCTGCACAGCGCTTGGCAGCTCGGTGCTCAGGCTCATGCTGGTATCTTGTGCCTTTGGGACACTGGTCTCATCCATCGGCATCTCAGACTCATTGGCAGGAACGCCCGCTAATCCTTCGCCTCCTGATTCACTCTGATTCTTCTCAAAATCACCAGCATTCGACGACTGTGAATTGCTGTCCAAGAGAGCCGCCGTGGCTGCTGCAACATTGTTGGCCACCGCAGTCGTCACTGTTGCCGATTGCGAGGACATGGAATTGTTATCAAAGAGACCGCCGACATCCACTCCGACGACATCTGAGTGGGAATTTGTGTTGTCCATTAGCAGGTGTTGTTGCTGCGGCTGCTGCTGTTGGGGCTGCTGGTTGTTGTTGCCGCTGCTGTTGATGCTGCTCTGCGAGTTGCTGTCATGGACCGATGTGGGCTGATTGTTGACAATGCTGTTGGTGCTGCTGTTGCTGCTGCTATTGTTGCTATCATTGGCGGCCACGGCCAAGGTAGAGGAATCGTTCGAGTTGGCCGTTTCGTTGAGAATGCTGCTTAGGTGATGCGACGAGGGTGTTGAGGTTTGTTGCGGCGGCGCCTGCTGTGGCACCTGTTGCTGTTGCTGCTGCTGTTGCATTTGTGTTGGAATCGGCGAACTGACATGAGCTGGCGACATTGTCTGTTGCGTCGTTGCTGCCGGCGGTTGCTGCTGCTGTTGACTGTCGCCCAAGATGTTTGCAAACGGATCAAACTGCTGCTGCTGCTGCTGCTGCTGTTGCGGCTGGGACTGATTGTAGCTGGGTAGATGTTGCTGGTGGTGCGGCGACTGTTGCTGTTGCTGCTGCTGCTGATGTATCGGCGATTGATGCTGCATTTGCTGATGATGCGGCGACGTTAGACTCGACTGCGCTTGCTGCGTTGCCTGTTGTTGCGTCGACTGGCCCGCCTCCATGCTGGGCTGTATCAAATGATGCATACTGGGCAAACTTTGCTGGTGCAACGGCGAGGAGGACATGGCCGCCAGTTGAGGTTGATTTTGACTGCTGACCGGTGGCCCACTGCTGTTGCCGCCTCCTCCGCCTCCAACAATATCGTTGATGGAATGCTGCAGTTGATCGTTGAGTGATTGTTGCTGTTGCTGGTGCTGTTGCTGCTGTTGCTGCGGGTTTGGCACTACTGGTGGTGCCACCACTGGCGGCACAACCTGTTGCTGTTGCGCAGCCTGTGGTTGCTGCTGCTGCTGTTGTTGTTGCTGCTGTCCCATCGCCTGTCCGTACATGCTTAGTTGTTGCTGATGGTGTTGCTGCTGCAACATAGCCGCCTGCTGTTGCTGCTGTGGCGCCTGTTGCTGCTGCTGCTGCTGTTGCGCCTGTTGCTGTTGTTGCATGGCTGCCATGTGCTGCGTGCCCCACTGCTGGTGATGCTGTTGCTGTTGCGGCGACGCTGGCATCCTGGGACCCACCACCGAGCTCCTATACGCGGACGGATAGTCCATTGGCGGTAATCCATGAGCCTGCGAAGGCATCACCATTTGTTCTAGGGCCTGCAAGGTATTGACGGGGGCTACGGGAGCTGGTACTGCCTTCGATACCGCTCCTCCTCCTCCTCCCCCAGAACCAACTCCTCCTCCTCCGCTGCTTGGTGGCTGAGGGCGGGGAGAGGGTAGTCCGACCATGCCTTGGATGCTATGCTGGCTGGGCTGGTTGTTAACCACCTGCTGTTGTTGTTGAGGCTGCTGCTGCTGCGCCTGCGTCTGTTGCTGTTGTGTGGGAGGTGGTTTTGCCGGCGACACGCCCACTGGTCGCGGCGACATCTGCGGATGCGGCGACATGGTCGGCGGACGTGGCGACATCTGTGGAGATAGCTGGGGAAAGGGTGCACGATACTGGGGCGAGGAATTAAGCTGAGCGGCGGCCGCCTGTTGATGTTTGCTGCTGGACATGTAAGGCGGCGCTGCCTGCTGTACTTGCTGCGACTGCTGCTGCTGTTGCTGGACTTGCTGCTGCTGTTGCTGCTGCTGGTGGTGGCTGCCGTAGCTAGGAGGCATTCCCATGTGCGGTGGGGGCAGCACGGCACTCGGCAGTTGTTGCTGTTGCTGCATCAGCGAGACGTGCGGCTGCTGCTGCTGCTGCGCCTGCTGTTGCTGCGACTGGAGTTGCTGCTGCTGCTGGTGAGCTCCCAATTGCTGCGCAGCCTGCTGCTGCTGCGCAGTCAAATGATGGCCCGGCGGCGCTCCTCCCGGTACATGCTGCCCGTAGGCCGAGGCCTGATCCAGGCCCGTGTGGCCATAGCCCACGTGCTGCGGCGCTCCCCGTCCTGGCTGGTGTTGCATTGGACTTCCGTAGGGGCTGTGAGCGTAGGCCTGGGGCACTGTCGGAGGCTGTCCTGCCTGGACAGTGGGTGCTCCCACTACACCAGGATACAGGGGATGCTGGCCAGGTGCTTGCGGATAATGCTGCGGCAGCCGAGCCTGCTGCTGACTCTGCTGCTGCTGCTGTTGCTGCTGCGCCTGTTGCTGTGCCTGCACCTGCTGCGCCTGGACTTGCTGTGCCTGCTGCTGCTGGGGCGTGGGCGGCTGGACCTGCTGTTGCTGCGATCCGTAGCCGGCCATCATGCTCTGCTGTGCTCCGTAGGGCGCCACCAGCTTCTGCTGTTCCTGCTGTCCGTACGCGGGCATGTGTTGCCTATACGCGCTGGCCTGGCTCTGCTGGCGCTGCTGCTGCGCCGGCGGTGCTGCCTGCGGATGGCCATAGGCACCCAATCCTGCGCCAGGATAGGCTGCCGCTTGTCCCGGAACTGAGGGCGCTGCACCCCAACCGCTTAGATCACCCATTCCGGCTCCAACGCCGACGCCTACACCGAGTCCAACGCCCATGGCCGCTTGATGATCGGCGGCCCCCAGCCCGTAGAGATTCTCCGCCGTTGGCTGGTACGATGGATATTGGGGCTGTTGCTGTAGCGGGTGTGGAGCGCGGTGGCGTGGCGGATAGCCGCCGGGCGGCCCCATTGCCCGAGGGTTTGCCGCGGCGGCTGCTGCTGCGGCGGCTGCCGCATCGTAACGGTAATAGGGATCTCTGTATAAACAAGAAAATACAAGAATAGTAAGAAGAATAACCTATATTGTCTCTGCTAAAAGGGGAATATACATATTTGTATATAAATAGAGCAATCTCTGGCCACTTATTTTAAGGGTTGACTATCCCCACAGATTCAGTGTCGGAAAAACTCACCCTTGATGATTTCCGTGAAACATATTTTGTGCATTTCCATCCATCAGATTTTTGAAACGCAGCGCACACAAAAATGTCCGTTACACGTCGACCGATGGATGACGACGCGACGCCGCTGCGTTTTCAGGTTTGCTCGTCGATTGGCTTAATTTTGATGCTGCTTGCTCTCTGCGCGTTCGAGTTGGGAGGAAGGAGGGAAGTAAGGAAGGAAGGAAGCAATGTCTGGCCCAGAGAAGTTGTTCTGCTGCACCGCGGGGATGAATGGTGTGTTGACTCTGGCCACTGATTATCTGAACGGATCTCTTCTTCTGGCTGCTCCTTTTCTCTCTCTCCACTCTCGCGCTTCGTCTTAGTTTACCGTTTATGATTGTGTATCTAATATATGTATATATATATTGGTTGTTCTGGGTTTCTAACTACTAAACTTAATTACAACTGGTGTGCAATTTAACGTCTTGTTGTTATTGTGGTTGATGTTGCTTTCATATGTTGAAGTCATTTGTGTCTCGTGTTTCGTGCACTTCATGGCCGACCTTTGACATATTCGCAGTGAAACACATTTGCTCACAGCTAGAAAAACATAAATAAAACGAAGATTTGAAGGTATTTCGAATGGTAACTGATACTACAAATAATTATTTTACAAAAAGTTTTCGCGTCAAACGATAATGGTGCACTTATTATGCGAGAATTGAGCGTATTTTAAGCGAGAACACTTTATTAATTTAATCTGTAAAGAAAAGAGAGAAAATGCGTCGATTAGTTATAAGATTAAGTATTAAACTCCATTTAAATGATATAACCTTATATTTATTATTCTTTTGAGAGATCCTTCTTTTAACTACATTAAATTGTATGCCTAGAAATGATCACTAATTAAATCATTACAATATTAATTGATAATATGACCCTGAAAATAGATGATGCTCGGCACTTTTGTTGTTGTTGTTGTTGTTGTTGTTGTTGCCGCAACTTTTAAGGGGAAAAGCTATACGCTTATGAATTTCATAGATTGGCACATATAACGTACAGTTTGACCCCCCAAAATGTTGAGCAATATTATTATTTTATCTTTTATTTTATAACACATTAACTGCAGTTTTAGCTATAATTTGGTGCAAAAATAACTAAAATTCAAAAAGTAATGGGAATATATATAATACACTTTATATAGTACTGGAAATACTCTCGTGTTTTCAATGAGTGGTGTGAGGGGTTGGTTTTTAGGTTGTAAATCTTTTTTGCTGCGGTAGTGAGAAAAAACAATGAAAAAAACTCTATCGATTTTTCCGCATTGTCTCTGCTGCTTTTAGCCGAAAAATCTAAAGCAGCAAGCAGTTGGAAAATCCGCAGAGAGACAGCAAAAAGGAAAAGGCGAGCGGGGAAAAAGGCGAAAAAAGAAAAGAAAAAAAGAAATGCGGGTGGGTTGACTGACTGCTTGTTGTTGTTTCTGTTGCTCCTGTTGTTTTTGCTGCTGTTGGAAGCTGGGCGAGAGCCCAAAAGATATGCAAATGGAATGGGGGGAGGGGAGGGGAGCTAAGGGGTTGGTTGGGTGGCAAGGTGTGGTGTCTGCTTTGTGTGTTTGTTTGTGCAAATGGAAAGTGGAGAGATATAGACACAAAACTACAGAGAGTACATAGAGATATGCACTTACACACACATTAAGAGATACACGGCCGAAAATTCGCCGTTCGTTATAAAGGTGAGGTGAGAGGTGTACACACACACGGTGTGGCACATCATCAAGCGAAACTTATGTGGAGTGCCTGACACATGGGTTAAGCGGTAAGTTTACCACCGCTCCCCAGTGCCACCCACCCTTTACTCTCCATTTTCCAGCACCTTCTCCCCCTCCAGCCCCTGGAACCCGCTGCTGTGAGCTTGCCGCGAGTTGTTCGCGTTCATTGGACAATCATTTAGCCAGTCGTTGCCGTCGTCGCTGTCACTACACCGTTAAAAAGCAATCGAGTCAATCGAGTGAAATATGTTTTTAAAATATAATTTTACAATATACCCTTGCAGGGTAATTTTATTTTAGTCAGAAGCTAATAACGATGTGAAGGAATCATTTCCGACCGATCACATATATTTTTGATCAGCACAAAAAGCCGAATCGATCTAGCCATCTCTGGCAGAAAAAAAAATTATAATTTTTTTTCAAAACTTTTACATTATTTTTAATCATTACAAATTTAAAAAATTTGCAAAAAATTTTACTTCTATAAAATTTAAATTTAGTATGCAGATTTATTGACCTAATAAAAACTAGCATTGGAAAACTTTTCGAATCAAAATAAATCGTTTTTTGGCATAGTTATTAGCATTTGAAAATTAGTTTTTTCGAAAATATTGGCATATTAAAATATCGATAAATAACAAATGCGAATATTTTAAGCTTGGTTTTGATCGATATCCAATTCTATACTATAATTCAATTTCGTCTCCCAGAATTTAGTTTCCTTTTCAGTTTTTCTGAATCAATTTGAGTCATTTTAATCTCGGACTGTGTGATAATTTCTCGCTGTGCCGCTCTCGTTGTTGTTGTTGTTGGACCCTCTGGCTGCTTTGACTTTGCCGTAATCAATTACATTTCGCTTTTGCAATTTCAGCTATTTATTTAGTTTCAGCTCTTGCCATTATTATTAGGCTAGCGTACATACAGACATACATAGATATATTTTTATGTATATCTGCAAGTTTGTGTGTGCGGCGAGACTTTACTTTTGTATATCTGGCAGATATCTATCAGTGAGCGAGTGTGTGTTTGTCGCATTTTTCTTTCGCCTTAGTTTTTATTACCCGCTGCTCGCTTCTTCTCATTTTCTCGCTTTTTTTTGGCGTGGCTTTTACACAAACAAATCGGGCAAAGTAATTGCAAAAAGAAAAACAATAAACTAAAAGCAATAGTAATATGCATACATGTGTATGTAATAACGTGTGAATGTTTGTGGTACTGCTGTCCGTTTGTCCGTTTGTCCGTCTGTATGAGTTTGTGTTAGCAAAGCAAAGGCACAGACATCTGAAAAATTGTGAAATTATACTTTACTTATTGCCTCGCCTCTCCGCCTCTCTGCCTCTCTTTTCGGTGTTTATGTCTATGTCTATGTCGCCGCCGTCTCTGTCTCTGTGTCTGTCTCTGCGCACAACTGTACATTTGTTTTAAATAAGCGAAAAATCGATTAAAGGTGATAATAGACAAGCAAATTTCAGAGTGTCCCAAAACGACGAAAGACGCGAGCCACATTTTTGTGACCCGACGTTGCGACGACGACGAAGCACCACCACCAATATATGTAACACCAACAAAGCACCATCAAGAACCATTGGAACAAGCCAAACCGAATGGTGGATTAGCTCTTGGGCTGGGTCCACTTCTCCCTCTGTTTTCCCATGCTGCTCCACTCACTCCATTCCATCGCTTTATGAGCCATGAAAATCGCTCTCAAAAGTTCATCCAAGTCAGAGTTTTCTCACCATAACACAACGGAAGCGAACTTAATACAAGAAGTACATACCCTTCAAGGTATTACAAACACCTAGAATAAGTAACTATGCCTTGTTTAAGCCTTGAAGGCGTAATACTTAAGACTAACTTTGTAACTTCTTTGTAGGATAAATTTTATAGTGAAACTAATATCATACCATATTATCTAAATTAGCTGGTTTGGAAAGATAGTTAGGCTTGGATGTACATGATCAAAGATCAAAGATTCATCAGTATCCCTACCTTCTATACCTTCTTCTCTTGCCTACAAACTCACAACGACAAGTATGACCCTTGTCTAGGGTATTCACGTGTTTACAACCCTTTTTGTAAAAATGAGGTGCAAAACGTAACTTAGAGCAATCAAATATGTATACATATCAAAACCTGAATGAACATAATACATACATATGTATAACTGCCCAAAGCTTGTGATTAAACATTTGGCAATAACAACAATAATAATATACATACAAATACCCACAAATAAAAACAAAAAGAGAAAAACGTTAAAAGAGGTTCATTCACCTTGTTTTAAGTTAGCTCACAACTTTTGACAGTTGTTTTGTGCTCTTGCTTCGCTTTTTAGGGCCGACTTTGTCTGCTCTTTATCTCAAACTTTTCAAATGTAACGAATATCTGACCCACAATAAGCTAACAAAAGTGTAGGGGAATTCGCAGGCTCTAAAGCGAGTCGAAATAGCTTAAAATAAATAAAAGAAGCTGTAGAATTAATTATTATTTAGTGTTTGCGCTAAAATCGGTCTTGAAGGATCTATACCGATTTAAATTCAACATATTTAAAAACCAACTGTATACGATTTAAAATATTTTCTCTAAAAACATGAACTATGCTTGTATTATGCATTATGCTTGTATTTATACATTAATATATATTTCTTAAATTCGCAACAGTGTTTTATAAACTTTTATCTTTTTCAGTGTTGGGCTTAGACGTGTTGTCATTGTGTAGTCACTTTGGTGGTAACACACCGCACACATTTAGCGAATAGTATGATGCATGTATGTCTGTATGTACATATGAAACGAATAAATCTCTTGCCTTTAATAACAATCAAGTCAAGTGGCTGGGGTCCCTCGAGCTAACAGTAACTAAAAAGTACAGTTGGTTTTTGTAAGAAAAGTAGCAGCCGCATTCACAGAGCCAAGAGCCAAGTCCGTCACTCAGCTCGCGCGGTCCAAAAAGAGGCAAAAGGCAGCCCGAAAGGAGAGACAGCAGCGGCACAGAAGGAGGAGGAGGAGGATGAGGAGACTAGAGAGGAGTTGGAGGCAAGAGACGACAAGAAGCAGAGCAGAGACAGATGGGCGCAGCAGCAACACTCGCACACAGACTCAGGCCGTACGGACGTACGTAAAAATGGTAATAAAATAGGCAAAGTAACAGCAGCGGCGACGGCAGCAGCAGCTGAAGAAAAAAAAGAAGAAGCATGGACGCGGACAAAGGCTGAAAAGCCACACACAGTTTTTCGGAAAAGCCAAAGAGAGCCACCAAACCAAAATGAAACTCAACTCAACGCACTCACACACACACATTCTCTTAGAGAGAAGTTCGCTGGGCAAAAATTACAAACACGTCGCAAGCTTTTTGAATGTGTAACGGCACATTTATGGCATGTCCAATTGGCATTAGAGATGAGTGGAGTGCCGATAGAAGCGTCAGTCGCCAAGCGCATAAATTCCTTGGGATACCCTTTAAAAACGACGCTAGGTAAAGAATTAAGACAAATTAACCTTAATTCTTAATGTTAAAAACTACAAGAATTCCATTGAACTCATTGGCACCCAACCCACAAATAAATCGTTGCACTTTAATGTAATGTAGTGTAATAAGAACATTCTTCAGGGACACCGAATCAATATCGAATAGAAACAATTATTGTATCTAAAGCATTATCATTTAAAAATGTCATAGAAACTATTACTTTAAATAAAAGAAGATGTAAGATGACAATCATATAAAAAATTCAAATTTCAATAAATATTACCTCACTGGCACAATAATAACTACCAAAGGGATAATCCGCACTTGATCAGTGGCGGCGATGATTCCATCTCTAATGCGTGG